AAGATAAAGTACGTACAATCATGAAGTACACTGTACCGTCCTCACTCAAGGAACCGAAGGCTTTTCTCGATTCGGTTAGCTTCTACTCACGTTTTGTGGCCCACCGGACAGAGCAGTTACGATCATTAACCAACTTACTTCGCGGTACTCCACGCACACAAGAACTAAACGATGCTATAAGTGTATCCTTGAAATAGTATCAGTAAATGAGCATAAATTTATACGATTTACTATCAATACAAAAAGAATATAACGAATTCGCCAAGTCTGATGTGCACATCAGAATAACAAAACAAAAATGAATAAATTAGACATTCTCAAACATAAGTCAGTTAGTCAGTCAGCCAACAAAAACGTGGAAATTCGTACGTACATACGTACATCAGTTCAAGTTGCCATTTCACATTAGCACAGAGATAAAATAGTTCATTCAAATCCCATTGTAGTAGAGGTAGTAAAAATATGAGAAGTTATCAGAGAGTTTAGGATTCGAAGATGTTATACAAGAAGTATAATTCAATGAGGTGAATTTAGAAAGAGAAAGATAAAGCCGATGAGGAACTTCGAAGGTAAGAATTTCATAGAACACATAGACTGGATGCATCTGCGCAAATGCAAACGATTTTGAGCTATGACATTCAGGGTCTCTAACCATCGATTATTATCATCTCGCGAACCCCAGCCAGGTAGTCGACACCTACCGACATGATTCAGTCCATTTGTCAGTGATTTCATGGATTTGTGCAGTATTTTGGTCTTTCACCGCCCCTAGCTTTCGTCGAACCTATGTCCTACATGGCAAAATTAACGGTACCGATATGGTTTTCCTAATTTACTGAGTAACTCTGTAATTTTCGTTAAATACAAGTTGGTTGCCCTCACCTGTGTTCTCCTTCACTACATACGTAACACATGTACCAACCACATCAAATGACGAAAATTCACAGCTTCATCTATTGATTTGTCACTCTTGCATAGGACCCACTTCCTAAAGAATGTCCAATCGCATAAAAAATAAGTCGGTTTTCATCTATTACCGCCTACTTACAACCAACAACGTATCGAAGTCTCCTCTTTGTTGTTTCGAATGACTAGAGACTAGTACATTAGTGGTTGTCTTGAACAATTCGAGCGTGATATTATTTTAAACAATCAGATAGTATTGCGTAAGCTCTTAAGTTTCACGTCTAAGAATAAATGAGAATATAGAAAGAACTTTCACTGAAAAGTAATCATCGATAGCTACAAATTCAAAACTATTCAAGTCATTGGAAAAACGAGTTGGCAGAATTTGCACTGAAAATCGCTATGTTGATTACATGATAAGCTTGAAAATATTACGGGTTCACCTTAGTCGATAAACGAGAATGAAACAATAAACCAGTGTCCTAGGTTGGCTACTATTGTGGTGCGCGCTACTTATAAGTAGTATATGACGCGAGTGTAAACGTAATGTCTGGCAGCAGAAGATGCGGGAAGATCAAGAAAGGAACAGTGGGAACACAATGGAATTTGTATGAAACGCATGAATAGTGAAATGTCAAACAATTGATTGATGATGGATTGAAGATTTGCAAATTAACGTTGGTTACGATATGGTTTTCCTATTTTACTGAGTAACTCTGTAATTTTCGTTAAATACAAGTTGGTTGCCCTCACCTGTGTTCTCCTTCACTACACTCTGATCCGTTGACTCAAAGGAACAAACGAGTAGTCTTGATATAGCGTAGAATGTGTATCCTACAAACTTTCAGCAAGCACACAAATCTCATTTATTTATAAACCGTAGAGATGACCTCGGGAGAGTCCAATATCCTTTGGAGAGTCACAAAATAGAACACTGAAATAACACAGTAACAAATCACAACCAAGTTTTTTCGTGGTGGAGAATGTGATCTTAAGGTCATCTGATCAGCCGATGAATAAAATGCAAAATAATGACATTTATCAAGAGAGTTTTGAGGAACTAACATCTCTAACACATATGATGACAAACACTGGTTTATGAATCTCGCTGTTCTTCGTGTTTCTGCACAATAATGTAAATCTATCGAAAACATAAGACTGGATTCGGTTGCAAATGGTTTTATGATTTAGAAATGCATCAGTCTTTTTTCTGTTGATCGGCACAGACTCACGTAAAATACAAAGTCTTAAATATATTTACTAACAGAAAAGATTTAGTTCCACGTTTAATTGTGGAGACACATGTTGTGATGTATGTTATATAAAGAGAACCACTGAAATATGCCTAATGTGTTATAAATCATCAATTGTGGGAGGTAAATGTGTCTCAAGTACTCGGACACTTGTCTTGAATCTTCTTACTTCAGCAGTTCTTGATAATTTCATCTCAATTTTTAGTATTAGTTGAATTTGCAATGGTGTATACTACGTGTAATAATCGATTCTCTCATAAATAAGAACCTCATTCAAATATTGTACTTGAGGTGAAATATGGCATTCTCATCACACGCGTATTTCAACAAGTTTTCTATAATCTGTGGAAAATTCTCATCATAATAAAACACACATTTATCTATCGCTGAAGAATATTATTCTCGACTCAAAATTTCTCATCAGTTTCTATAATTTTGTATCGAAATTAATAATCTAGAAATTGGTAAGCTTTATGTTTGAGAACGTCATTTAAAATTATCAAACGTGAATTGAGGACTGTTCTTGAGATGAAATAAAATGCTCACTGTTATAATGGGTAATTTGAATTGTATGGAAACAAGTTTTAACAAATAATCGACAATTGTATACTTTTACTTCTGTACATGGATTCTGATGCATTTGTGTCATGTTCTGTTAGACGAAATTGATCTGCTCCATTGCAATCTGACGTGGACTCGTCAACAAATTTCACAAACGAATGTGTGTCCAAATAAGCTATTGCGATCTGAGTGATCCACAGGACTATTTATTTTCGCATTTTGTTGACAAATAAATGACTTTGCAAAATCTAGTTGCGAGTAAGCAGGTTATGAAATAGCTTTGAATGATCTTGTCTCAATTCAGTGTGTCACCGCAGTGAAATCTTCATTTATTCATGTCTACAGTTTGCACAACGGATTGTCAAAGCTCTTATTTGGCCAAAGTTAGCGTATGTGCAATGAGTGTGATGAGTGGAGACTGAGACACTTTCTGGTGAAGCTGGCCGTCCAACAATTGATAAAACATATGTTTTGATCAACTTATGGTGTTAAATCTGCATGTGATTGCTGTTAGCATCATGGATTGATTGATGATCAATATATTGCCAAGTTGACATTTCGAGCCTGATTGTGTAGAAAAACGTGACAAACAATGATAGATCAGCCTAGAAGCTCTTCACTCTTTCATATTTCACTTGACTGAATCAATCAACGTTGCTTGTGTTTGATGTAAATACAGCTTTTATAACATTGGATAAAAAGTGTCGAGAATATGTTTCTCAGATTTATAGAAGCTTTGACTATTCGGTAGTTTAAAACCATCTAATATATACGTTGACAATATTCTGTAACATCCTAGTTACTCTAGTAATGCAAACATCACCTACTTTGAAAATACGATATTCATTTTCTCTCCGGCTGACAATTAGAATTATTAACTAGTATTTATTTTCACTGTTAATAATTTGACCGTGATTTGTTCACTCACAAATTGTCTTGAAAAGTATATTTATGACAAAATTGTTCGAAACGTTTACCACAAATATACGTCATATTCTTCATGTCTATTACATATTCACAAAATTTAAAATGGAATGTACTGATTGCTTTAATTTTCTAACATGAACAGTCCCTTCATCTTGCATTATGAGCTCGGCTGAACTTGATAATCTTGAGAACAAAATCGTATATTAGATGGTCAGGTTAGACTAATAAAAGTTATGCACTGCTAGATACATATTTCAAAAACGTTTCCCTCATTACTTACGCCACGATAAACGAAGTTTTCTAAGGAAAATTGATGAAAATGATTAGAAAAAACCCAATGAAGGTGAAATATTCAGGCATCACGTATATTAAATAAAAGCTGTCAATTCAGACGTCTCAAATGTTCATCTATTAACAGTATTCTCGTAGTTATGGCAAAACAGTAACTCGTTCTGTGAATATTCACTCACCGTTCAGGTAGCACAAGTTCTAATATCACAATATTCAGTGAACCTAATTTGTCACTTGAGAAAAGGCGAATGAATGTTACATATGGACAGAGATTATTGAAATTCAAGTGCGAAACAAGAAATTTAGTATCAGTATCACGTAATACCAAGAAAGTGAATTTATGAAGATTGTAGTATGAAATGCATTGACTTAATTATCCGCCTTAATCATTACTTTTATTAATATGCATCATATTCGATAGTGAATTTAACAGGTTAAATAATTTTTCAGATCTCACCATTATGATATTTTAAACATAATAATTTGTCTCATTCATATATATTCACACCGTCGAGTACAACAATAAACCTGAAACGACTGGACGGCCTCTTCGTCCTAGTATGTGACTCATCAGCATTACGCATCCACGACTCCTGTACCTCGCAGGACTCGAACCCAGGACCTTCGGTATTGTGCGCGAACGCCGGACCACGTCGGACCACTTAGCCAGCATCCAAGTGGCGAAAAATCACTCAATGCAACAAATCATTTTGGACATTTAATTCGATTACTTTGACCTTTCTTATCATTAAAACACATAAGTGACAATTTATTTGAATTTTAATCTTAAAATTGTTATTTGTTGGTTTCTTATGAGCATATGATTCATTTTCGATAAAAAATGTTTCTCAATTATGTGAATTTCTCCATACAATAAAATGCATTTTTAATTCACAAATGAAAATTTTTTATATTCTTCATTTTTTTTTAAATTTTAATTGGTCAGTTAGTATACGTAATCGATTTTTTGTAATAAAAGCTTATCGGCTATATAATGTTTATTATTCAGTAACAAGTTTCATTTAGTTCAGTGTGTTAAATCTATTAACTTTCACTATTAAAATGATCATGACACCTACTTATTTGATAGTGTTATTTCTTCACTATCCTATCTTTCTTTTGGCTGATCAAGTTATCGAAGAAACTTATCCATATGTAAGAGTGCTGAGGAGATTTAGTTTTCTTAACTTAACTTTCAGTATTCATTCCAATTAGCAGAAAATCCATTTTCATCCATTTATAATAATGAAATGGAAAGTAATCCAAAATATTGGTTGGTAGGTTTTTAAAAGTTCATTTTCAATAAATCATGATAATGAATTGTTTTTCTTTTTTTCAGAAAAGAAATCTAAAATTTCAAATGAGAGTTCATCAAATGAAATTCACATCAGTCGGTGTAATGTCCGATGGTAAGTGACAATTTCTGTGTTTTAATCACATAAATTGATGTTGATTGAAATTTTTCCAGCTGATTTCTATGATTGATCTAAATCTTGCGACACATACTTACTTACTTAAGCCTCTTAATCCTAATACAGTACATATTATCGACCAGAATACTCCAACTTTATCTGTCCTCTTAGGGCATACATTTTTAATGTCTTCTGAACACATAAATTAGGGTTGAATGTACGTATTCCTATGACTTCTGCAATGTGTAGGAGACGGGATCGAACTCCGTTGGGAATCGATGGAGGTATATGATAGATCACCCCAAAAAGATCTAGATTTATCTACAATGTGACCACTATCTACCAGGTGTGCTAAGATAGAACTGAGTATTGTTTTTGACTGATTCAGTCAACTTACACAACGAATGAGTGAACATCTCCCAGCATGGTTTACGAAGGGTCAGTCAAAAACAATACTCAGTTCTATCTTAGCACACCTGGTAGATAGTGGTCACATTGTAGATAAATCTAAATCTTTTCGGGTGATCTATCGTATACCTCCATTTTTAATGTATCAACTTAGTTAACAACCTATCAATGATAGCTACTATCTTATTTAAATTGATTTGTGCATATGAAATACTTGTTATTCAAATGTATCAAAATGGATGAGTTGCATATGTTTATTCCTTTAATAATTCCTTAGGTGCATTATGTTTGACTAATTACTTTAAACATGGAACTCCTGTGAGAAAATTTGAAATTCTCAATGTAAAATTAAAATATAATACAGTATCGATATATTCAATTAGTAAGTTTTGAATTCTTCTTTTAAGTACAAAACTAATTCATGCTTGAACACAATCACACACTAAGTATTGCTAAAAATGTTTATTTTAAAACAATTAGAAAAATATACTTCTTTATGAAAACAATGATTGAATATTTCTTCAATTGTTTTATTGAATCTCTTCGACATTTCCATTTATGTATGGACATTCTTGGTTATGTGTGTTAGTTACACTTTAGTAAAATCATTAATAAGTTTTCTGATATCATAATCAGTTAATCAACTAATGTTTATTTCACTTTGACCGTATTACTTAAATTTTATTTTCCTACGTGAATAGTAGTACCACTTGAATGTTAGTTACAGTCATATAATATTCGTTGTACGAATTTTCAAATTTACAGATACCTTCTTCTATATCGGTTGGGAGAATTTCGAAAACACAGAATCTGGAAGATCATCACAAACAAATGACCGTATGTGGAAATAATTTTAAAATTATTTATAATTTGTGCAACTAAATGTTTTATTTTTGATTAACTAACTAGCTGCAAATAAATACTAGTTTAGTTTTGGAGGTTTGCGTTTTTACACATCTGAAATCATCAGTCAATCATTGTTAGACCATACCACTAGTAACCTGGAAGCACTGGACTGCCGTTTCGTCCTGGTATGGGACTACTCATTAGTAGTGCGCATCCACGACTTCTGCCCCTTACAGGATTCGAACCAAGGACCTTCGGCATTGTAGGCGAACGCCTTAATATCGGACCACTGGGCCGACATCCAACGGTGTTAATGTCTAACTCTGATTGATCTATGGATTTCGCGCGAATTCACACATTTGTCTTCGATAGTTACTGCCTACACCAGACAGGGTTGAACTCCATTGGTCACGTCTTCTCGACTTGAACTCAGAGAATTTCCTCACAAACCTAATCACTAGTGAGCACTTTTACGATATTTTTAGTTAGACCTTAGTAGATGTGTGTTTTTTACACATTTGAAATCATCAATTAATCATTGTTAGACCACCATTAGAAAGCTGGAAGCACTGGACTGCCGTTTCGTCTTGGTATGGGACTAATTTAATTGCATGTTCACCATAACTTTCATCGATTTCATACTGGCTGGTATCATCTTAGTTAAAATTCACTACCGAATAATTGGTTTCTGGAAGAATCTTTGCTTCATTTTGACCGTAATATCTTTGTCGGAATTACGTCTTAAGAAGTATTCATTACAGATTGATTGCAGTCGGAGTATTCTTAGATTATTAGTGAATATGAAATAGTCTTGTTTTGATTACAATGAAATACACAATTTATCAAATGTTAACATAAATCAATGACGTTTTCATGATTATTCCCTATTTTCGATAAATGACTCCGGAAGAACGTTGATTATTTCAAGCAAGAGACGGGACACAATGTTGAACAACCCATTCATTAAATAGTTTCGAGTTATTTGTAATGGTGTTTCTAAAAAGAGTATTTTAAGAAAAATTCCAATGATAAAATAATAACTGATAAGTTGCTTGATACATTTTTTTCAAATGTCATATCGCATACAATGACCCTACAATGCTAATTATTTTACTGAACGTTACCATATTCTTCACTAAAAAAGGCATACTCAATGAACTTCATTCCAACGCCTGATTAAATGAATCTTAATAATAGTTGACTGCATTAGCTGTGCACTGTGATAAATGAATATGACAAGAGTTAGTCGTGGAGATAAGAGAGGTACTAGGGGGTGTAGGACGGATTTGATTTTGACCAATTTGGTCTCGCGTGCTGTTACGGGTATGAGGACGGTTGTCACTTCCCGGCTGCCCACACCGTGGAAGGTTGTTTCTTGAGGAACCTGTAAAGGAAAATAGATTAGTGTTGGTCTTAGAGACCTGGGCGCGTGACAGCAGAGCCCAAGGGACAACTGCTTGAGGCCGGTCAAGCACGGACATTTTATGAAACATTTTTTGAGGATTAGCTCCGTTCTTAAAGGCCCTTAGTGGGCACCCTTACCGACGGAGACGGAAATCCGTGAGTTAGGGGAGGTGTGACATTTTTATTGTCGACCTTTTCTAACCCTCCCATCCTTGTGAGAAGGCATCGTCGCTGCAGATGCTGGTTGTCCGAGGGAAACAACTTACTGCTGTCACACCCCTCTGCAGTCAGCAGTACGACTTCGCCCTCAGACCTTGAGTATCTGCTTTTAGTCTCATCGTTCTCCAATCGACCTGCCTGGCATGGTAGGACCTGCAGGAACATATGTTCCTAATCTCTCCGATTACTTCTAATACCCTTACTAACTCTTCTACTATTGGATTTGAACTGACAATTACATCTCTGTGCTGATGTGGTATGGCGACATGAACTGATGTACTTACGTACGAAGTTCTACGTTGCAACTGACGACGACTGACAATAATAGCTGAAATAACTGACTAATATTGTATTCTTTAGTCAGAAAATACTTTAGAAACTGCGAGTGAAATACTCAAGTCATGAAAATAAAATCGTTTTACATGATAAGATCCTGTAACCTAAGGAATTTTACTATTTTAATGAAACGAGTTTACAGATAAGCATCATTTGATGATATTTAATTAGAGCCTTTTTTTTAACACAATGTAAATAATTCAAAACACTTAACTACATTATTGTAATTTTAAACTGATCTAAAAATTATTGTCAACTTTCGACATTAAAACTGTAACAACATTCACTTTTGAAACTATTCGTAAACATTTAAACAAACACCAAAGTCCTGTGGTTATTTTTTTTTGTTTTACGTATCTTTCATCAATTAAACTCCACATTTCATAGTTTGTATTTCAAGTATCAGTTAACATCCTATTGATTTAATTCATCA